CCCCAAAACCCCAAAACCCCAACTTGATCTAATCATTTTAAAAAAGTAGTAGTAATTCATCAAATTTATCGATTCATATAATCATTATAAAAAATCTCTAAAACAATGCGAAAATAAAAAAGCTAAATGATAAATAATAAAAAATCTGAATAAAATAGCAAATATAAAAGCATTTTTGAAAAGTTTCAAGACTAAAACATTGTAAAGATCATCAATTAAGAAGATTTTGATAGGTTAAGTTAAATTTAGTTCATAAACATAGAAGGAATTTTTCAAATAAAAGCAAAATCACCAATAGTAAAGTCAGGTCGATACTTTGTTAAGTTAAATATCGAAAATCATCAACTTTTCATAAAGTCGCAAGACAACTTCAAGAATAATTATTCTATAAATATTGAATTTTGTGAGCTAAAGAAATCATTTAAGAAAGATGGATGTGAAGTTAATTATTTCAAGTTTAAAGCTAAAATCGATTGATTCAAGTTTACTATTTAACAAAAAAAACATTAAAGTTAAGAGATAGATAAATGGGTCCAATTGCTGAATAAATCAATGGTTTATGAGAAGAAAACTAATTTTAATGTCATTAAAAAATTAGGATCTGGTTCGTTTTCAAAGGTATACTTAGTAAAATTTGATGAATGCCAAGATAAAAAAGCAATTAAAATGATTTGAAAGTCCTAAGTTAATGAAGAATCCATGAGATAGCAAGTCGTAAATGAAATAAGAATTTAAAGAAGCATAAATAACTAAAATATAATTAAAATATATGAAGTTTGGGAGGATTAAGATAACATATTTCTTGTTTTGGAATATATAGAAGGATTTAGTCTATAAGACAAATTAACTTAAGAAAAATCTATTGATGAAAAAAGTACGAGGAAAATTGTTCTATAATTGCTATTATCACTCCATTATTTGTAAATTAAAAAAATCATTCATTGAGATATAAAGCCAGAAAATATTTTGCTCTCAAAAGATTAACAAAGAAACATTTATGACACATTCATCATTGATTTCGGTTTTTCAATTTATTATAATGATGAAAATAAAAAATAATCCGTAATGGGAACACCCGGATTTATTCCGCCAAGTGTTATAGATGGAGAAAAATATTGTCTCAACAGTGATATATTTAGTGTGGGATCAATAATTTACTAAATGATCGCAGGTTAAAATTTATTTAAAGGAAAAAGTCTAGATAAAATTTTATAGAGAAACTTTAAGTGCTAGGTTTAAGAAAAAATTTAATAACTTAAATGTTCACAGGAATTGAGAGAACTATTGTTTGGTATGCTATAAAGAAGATGTATTGATAGGTTCAATATACAGTAGGTTCTGGATCATCCATGGTTCAGGATTTATAAATATGAGATTAAGCAAATAAAAATGATGAATAAAAGTCTTGCTTTATAAAAATAACCTTAAATTATTGAGAATGTTTAACAAAAAGCTTAGATTTAAGAAGTACTCTATAATGAGATTTAAGAATCTTTAAAATCATACAACTATCAAAATAATAGAAGTTAATCACCTAAAAGAGACTCAAAACCAATTAATTTAGTTAATTAATCATTTTCAAAAATAAAAAAATCATTTTCAATTTAGAAAGGAACTGGTGGAAATATTGAATTGATAACTTATAACTAAAAAATTCTTGATCTTTAATAACTATAAGACTTTCAAAATAGCTTAAGAAAATAAGATAATAATAAGTAATAATAGGATTTTGAATGTATTCCAAAGAATCTTAAATAAGAATAGAATTTTCATTTATCACCAATACCAATGAATAGAAAGCTAATACGACACAATAAAACAACAAATCTATATCAATCATATCTTAAATAAGATAGCTTCAGCATTGTAAGTCCAGAGATTAGAAAAATTCAGAAAAAATAAAATATATATCATGATAATTCATAGAGACAATAATTTAACTAAGAAAAAAATATTCAGACAAATACTGATAATGAAGAGATTGATATGCCAGTAGATACAGATGAGTAAATCTAATAGTGGGAAACAATTAAAGTTTAATAAATGAGGAGTATTATAATGAGTGAGCTTAACATTCCTAAAATTTCAAGATAATTCTTTGATTAATTTGAATAAAATCTGACCCTAGCTGGAGAGAAATAAGCCTGATAAACTATTAAATTAAATTTTGATGAAATATTCAAAATAATAGAAAAATACATATTATGACTATTTGCGATTCTAAATGCCATAATTTGTTTTTTATATGAAATACTAACTGATTATTATTTTGTATCAATAATTAAATTGATTTTGATTTTTTAAGCAATATTAAGCTAATCCTTAAGTTCGGGGTTTTGGGGTTTTGGGGTTTTGGGG